TTAAAAATATAACTTTCTCTGTTCTGATTCTGAGATGTCAGACTTAGATAAAGTTGATGATGAAGAAACATCTGTACAACCACACATTTTGATGCAGATTTGGTAGTTTAAGGCACTGATGCAATAAATAAACAAAACACTAATGATACTACTTCAGTGAAGACTCGTCAAAGCATTAAAATCAAGTTGCAAATAAAACTCCTATTGTCATCAAAACAGACTTTTTAGGACAAGTATTTAGTTTACCTCCAAAGATAATTGGATCCCACATACTTTTTTATAGACAGACGAGCTGAATACTTTTATTTCAGAGCAAACAAATATACATAGTTTTTTTCAAAACATTAAAATCTATAAACATAAACACTAATAAGATCCAACAACTACAAGTATTACAAATTTTAATGTCAAAAATGAATCTCCCTGCTTACAATATGTGTCAGGCCCATGAAACTCGATATGCACTAATAGCAATGTTATGTCAATTAATCGCTATAAGTTATTGCGAGAAAATCTGCATGTATGTGATAATACTAAAAAAAGATAAGTGATAACACTAAAAAAGATAAACCAGAAAATAAATCGAATCAAATTTTTAAAATCCAGCCAGTGTTAGATCATGTACGGAAAAATGTATATTAAATAAACCTGAAGTTGAACACTCAATTGATAAGCAAATTAGTCTTGCAAAATCGAAATATAGCGGTATTTGCCAATACAAACCCCGAAAAACCGGTAAATGGGAGTTCAAAAACTTTGTTGGCTCTGGATTATCAGTCATTATTTATAATTTTCTCAGTATTCTGGCTAATCAAAGACCAAAAAATCAGCAAGTGGCTCAACAAGCAGTCTTTATACACATTTAAAAACAAAGCATGATGTAATATTACGAAAACGAGATGCTATTGAACCTCTTGGTGAATCTAGTTCAATATCTGTATTTCCTCCTCCAAAAACTGCTAAATATTTTAAAAAAACTACAGAAGACTCGCTGGCAGCAATCTTATTAAGAATGAAAGCACTTGATGGTATTCAAAATTTTCATAACATTAGATGAACTTTGAAAATCATTAAAAGTATTAAATTTAAGTGGTGAACTTCCAAAATCTGCTATGACTATACAAAACATTGTCACTAGTTATAACGAAACTATTCGGCAGTTAGTCATTAAAGAAATATCAGAATGTAAATTAAATGGAAAAGGTTTTAGTATTACTTTTGATAAAGTAACTTCCTTAAGGTGGTACCCTGGTAATAAAATACTAATTTCGGTGAGTTTTTGAAAAATAGGAAAATGAATGTTTTGAATTCTTAAAATCAACCTGTTTTAATAAAGGTTTTTAAAAAAAAAATTAAAACCTTAATTTTTATCAAAGACGTTTGACTTCTTTTAAAATATTTTCAGGCTAAAAGCTGTCCGTTGAAACCACAAAATTGTTCTCAAAGTGGAGCTCCTGAACGATGGTATTTAACTTTTTGTCAGTCCTTCCTTCAGGTCAAGTTGAGTTATAATCAAAGATAATTTAGTGTTTTTATTTGTAAATGAGTTTTTCATGCAGGTATAAGTCCTCTAACGGTAAAAAGAGAAAGGTTTTTAGAGGAAGAATTACAAAAAATGATGGTAATAAAGGATCAAATGTTTCAAAAACTGTTGTAAATAAATCGGCTTTTGCAGTGAAGTTAAAAATTTCTTTGAAATCAAAATCTCCTTGCTCTGCATTCGATTGTAACTTTATCACTAACAGTGAATTAATCGAAGAGGATGAGACATATTAAATAGTTTATTTTACAATATGATATCAATATTTTAGCTTTTAAGCCACTTTTTTTTTCTCTGTAAACCCCAATATTTTAGAAAAAGTAACTTTTACAATTTTATAGAAAAAGTAAATTTTTGCAGTATGACATATTAGGAATGTTGTCTTTGAAGCAATAGGAAACAAAAAAAAAAAAAAAAAAATTAAATCACTTTTATCGTATTTTAGTCTCAATCTTTTGGTATTTTAAAGTTTGAATGTCAACCCAGTAAAATTCAAATAGTTTAAAATTTTTTTTTTTATAGATAACATTTTATTTACATTAAAGAATTCATGTTCAAATTTTTAAACAGTTTTAACTATTTTTGAAGTAGTTACATTAGATGAAAGAAAAAGCTGTTTTATGGATAAAATAACACTAACTATGCGCCTAATTAATGACGTCATCACTAAAAAAAATTTTTTATTTTCCAATTTTTATATTTTTTGTTCAATTATAAAAAAGAGCTAAAGTCTAATGATATTTTTTAATTTTTTGTTGATTTTAATTCATAAACGTATATTTGGAATTTAGGACTTTTCCGAATCAATGGAAGGGGGAAGTAGGAATGGTGGCAGCATTGTGGTCCATGGTGATAACTATAATTAACATTTTTTATTAATAAAAAATGTTTAAAATCAGCACGTTTGTTTTCCATTTTATCCCAATTTTTACAATTATTTACATTTGAATGATTACAAAAAAAAAATTAAAGAAAAGATTAACACTTTCAATAGTTGCAATGAAACATTCTTCAATCATTTAAAAGTTGTAGTATAAAAAGTAGGAAAGTTTAAATTATAGTTAATTTTTTTGACTTTTTAATTGAAATTTTCTTAGGACTATCTTAGCCTATATTAAATAAAATGTGAATTTTATTCGAAATAATTTAAAAGTTGACAAATGTGAAAAGTCTTTTGCATATTTAATTACTATACTTGTCTTTGTTTATTTAAATTCAATTATTTATATTCTTTATAACTTAAATACTATTCTTGTTTTAGTTTATTTAAATAATACTTTTAAACAAATCAATGAGTTATTGAAAATAAGACACTGTGCACCAGAGACCACTAGGTTTTATGTCCTGGCACTCAAATGAAAGCTTTTTTATTCAAGAGTATTTAAATTATAACAACGAAAATATAATTTATAAATCTAAACAAATTGCTAAGAGTCATAAATGGGGCAAAAGGGTAAGTACAAGGGGAGCACTAGCCTATTTAGATATGCTAGTTACACATTACAAAAAAAAAAGTTTTATATTCAAAAGTATTTGGTTAATAAAAAAAGTAAAAAACCTTTTTTTTAAAAAAATAGTCAAGGGTCGAAAATGGGGCAAAGGGTAAAATTGAGGGGACCTATGCCCATTTAATTATTTGAGATGCCCGTTATAATAATTTTAAAAATTAAATGCTAAATATTTTAAACTAAGTATAAACAAACAAAAAAAATTCAAAATATTTTGAAAATTAAATGCTAAATATTTTAAACAAAGTATAAACAAACAAAAAAAATTCAAAATATTTATAATATTTATCAAAATATTGTGCATAATTTAACAAATTACGAACAATT